GTTTTGTTATTGTAGCCCAGAGGGCAATTGCATACTTTTCTTTTTTCATGTTTTAAGATCTATATATAGTGATTTTATGTGTTGTAAAAGAATGATGAATGATTAAATGAAATTTTAATTTGTCTTCTTCTCTTCTTGTGAGTGTACTAGAAGGAAGAGAGAGCCCAACGCGTGGGCGAGCGCAATACCCACCAGTCACCGGAAGAGTCTGTGGCTCGTGGTCTTCTTCTACGTTCTCTTTTCTTTCTTCGTTATCGCCCACCGGCTTCACTTCATTCTTCCACCTTCATCCCGCAACCAAACCACCTCCCTTAGATCCAATCCAATTCCCCTCCCAAAAGCCACACCACCAGCCTCACCTTTGGCCCACCCAACCCAACACCAAGCCTACCCTCTCCCCCTCCTAAACCGCAAGCCCCATCATTCTCCCAAATCATTATGGTGATTCCAATCATCATAATGACTCCCTAAATTGACTTAAGAAATAACGGAAGGAGTTAGAATATTTTGAAATTCAAATTTGAATTTCAAAAACTTTTCATATTTACAAATCTAAATAAGGAAAGTTTTTAATTTTGAATCCAATCTAAATTTAATTTAGAGAGGATTTATTATTCTACCTCCTAATTTGTCATAGCTTGTTTGGAAATTATTCAACTCCTCCCCAATCCCCTCCCTCCTCTCGCTTGATGCCGCCGACCCCATTAATGGGCTTTCCCCCTTTGCTTCCTAATGAGGCTCTCATCTCTCTTTAATTTGAATTCAAATTTCAAATTAAATCCCTCCAATTCTACTTAAAATTTGAAATTAATTTCAAATTTCGTTAAAACTTTCCCTCCCCTTTTCCAATCTAACCCAAGCCCCTCATCCAAACCGCCCCTCTCTTCTCCCCACCTTGGCCGCCCCTTCCACTTCTACCTCCTCTCTTGGGAAACCCTAGTTCACTCATGAATATTGAAGCCAAGAAAAGAAGACAAGCTCCTCCCTCATCCTCGTCTTTGGTGCATGGTCGATCCTGAGATTGACCACGGCTTTGCCTACAACGCATAAGGAGAAATCGATATTCTTCTTTCTCCTTTCTACGAACCGAATTGGGAATACGAATACTCGGTGTAAATCTACGTCAACCGCATCCTTTATGGCCTCACCGAGACGGTTGAACTTCAACAACCCAGAGCAGCTTGGATTCTCATCGGACGATCAACAACCTCTTCTCCTCTAGCTACTTGTCCGGCGAACAAGGCCCTACGGGCCACTTGTCTTGTGGTGGCATCATTAGGATTGCTTCATTAGTATTACTATTTTATTTTCGTTGTTATTACGATTGTCTTGCTAATCTCTTTGTAACCGTTTGCCATTACTTAATCTTTTAACGAAAAATCTAAGAATTTGACTTGGGTGAAACATAAGTTCTTAGCTAGCAAAGTTCATGTTCAATGTCTATTATTAAAATCCAAAGCAACTCTTATCGCATGTATGTTTCACATCACCTCCCTCACATGATCACCTTCAAACCCCTCTTCACTTTCTTCCCTCCTTTCGCCAAAATAGCACCCCTCCTACCATAGTTTCACTCCTTTCTCTCCCAAATAGCATCCTTTACTCCTTGCTCCATATTTCCACATCTCTCTGCCCACCTTCCCCCTTTTTCGTCAATGATTTCAACATCATTTTCCCTCCTACGAAAATCAAAATTCATAGTTCTTCCCATTGGTTCCTTCACCTCCGATGCCGCTGTTTGGATTTGATTTTCCAATAACCTCTTCACCATCAAATGAAGATCAGAAACTTCATCTTCCACGGACGAAAAGTTGTCTTCTACGGATGAAATTTGATCCTCTACTGTGGCTTTTATTTGGCTCATCTCTCATTCCAAACGCTCTTCCAACGCATCTATCTTCTTGGCGTCCATCAAAATTTCTGGATTTTGATCCAAAAATCAGCAAGGGTTCCTTCCTCCGGATGAATTTTCACCGCTGAAATTTCAAGAAATCAGCCTTCGATGGTCCCAAGACTTGCTTTAATACCAGTTTGATAGGCAATACTTGAATATTTCAAGTAAACCCTAGCAAGAATAAGGAAAAACAGCAAGAGAAACACACAAAAATCTGGTAGAAAACTCTCCAAATTGCAATTGGATTGTAAAAGAGAACTAACGGAAACAACGAAACAACGATACAATTGATCCTCAATTCGAGAGGAGGATCGCCTCTCCCAATCTCTAGATGAATCAAGAGCCCAAGACACCAAGAAGAACCCTCACAAAAACACAATAACCAAACAAAACCCTAACCCAAATCTCCCTCCCATACTTAAGGCATACAATTAAAACAATAAAACAAAAAGACCTAAAGGCCCTTGTCGCCCCCTCCATTGGCTCCAATTTTGAATTTGAAATCAAGTGGACCCCACCCCTTCTCCCTCTTGCTGCTGCCCCCTCCTGCTATAGACTTGAACCGGCCCCTTAGAAGGGGCCGGCTGGACCGGTCAACTAGGGTCCGGTCTAACAGGCATATGCTGCTTCTACTTCAATTCAACACAAGACTACAGGCTCACACTATGAATGAGACGGGTAGCCTGAATAAAGCCAATCCAATCTGGTTCAGCCCCATTTGAGTCCTAGCTTGATCCTTCAGAAACTTCAACATTCTGTTGGCGCCTTGGGATTAATGTCCATGTAAAATAGGGTGCTAGATCATGTAGATTTTTACAATACCAATAAGACAGGTAAAATTTTCATGAACTTTAAGAACATGCATGATGCACATAACAGATATTCTATTCGAAAGGTTGTAAGTAGACCTAAGCACTTCGCTAATTAGGTTATAGATTAAATTGGGGCATGACTGCAAAGCTTTGCACAAGGTTGAACTAGCCTTATATAGGGTTTAGGGTTTTTTTTAGGGTCACAGGTTTAGGATTTTAAGGTTTTAGGTCTTAGGGTCTAGGGTTTAGATTATGAGACTTAATTATTAATTAACCAACTAAAATCATAATGCTTGCATGTGCATATTTGATTGATAAAATTCACCCTCTTATAGTACTGGTTGAAGATGCACTGTATTTGCATATGTAAATTTGAAAAAAGAAATGGAAAGAAAGTTAATTTAATTGGTACAGTTTATATGATGACTCCGATGATATTATATTATTTATGTAAAAAAGAATAAGTCGGGATATGAGTTTTTACTTACGCATAATATATGATTTAAGATCATTTACAAAATCATCTTTAAATAGAATTACTATTAAATGATGTTCTTTATTTAATGTTTTAATGTGAGCATGCATATTGTTTAAAAATTATATTATGTTATTGTAATTTTAAAATATGATTTATTCACTGAATTGTGTTAGAATCCACTCCTTTTCCTAAATAAATGTGTATGGGTATTACCTCGTGAAGTTAAATGAGTGGAAGAAAATTAAAAAAAATATATTATAGACGCAATGCTCCAAGAAAGAGATATTTATTTTCAATGGTTATATATTTACTTAAAATGAACTTTTGAGTTTAGTGGCTCTTTGAGTATGTTGAAAATAATTTGTTATTAGTGATATTAGTAAAAGAAATTTTGAATATTCATACAATAGTTTGTTCCTACTTGTTAATTCAAGCCTCTAAGCTAGGTCTTAACACCAACATCCAAGTCTAAAGCACGAAATGCAATAGGGTTGGATCAACTTCAAGTTTCAAGTCAGGAAATGATGCCCAAACCCAATCATTTTTTGGGCTAGCTCTATTAAGCCAGGCAATTGCCAATGGCCAACCCATGCCTAGACTTTAGCTTTTTTTAGGACGGCTTTCTTATTGCTTCTTATAGTAGCTTTTTAGTATAAAAATTAAAACTTTTGTACTAGAAAGCTGATTTAAGAAGCAATAAGAAAGTCGTCTCAAACGAAGCCTTCGTTAATAGTTTCCAACTAAAGAAAAGGAAGTTTTCTAGAGCATTCATGTAAATCAAAAGATTCAGCGGCATGTATTTTAGGTTTAATCAAATAATGAACATGAGTGTGATACAAAGTAGATGTACAACTTGCAGAAAACCCTGGCTGAATATTCAATTTCAACAAAACAAAAATTGATAACAAGTAAACAAGAAGAACACTCAAGAACATTTTTTATTGAATTATATATGAAGAAAAAGACAAGATACAGGTGATCTATAATTAGAGAGGTAGATTGGCTCTCCCAATCAACCTAGATGCTGCTAAAAAGCCCTCAAAGAAAGAACTACAACAAAACATAAAACTTAGCAATAGCATACCCTCAACCATAGACAAAACTCTCCCTTAAATAGTCCTAAAACACAATAACACAATTAGAACCTTCCTAATCAGCGTAAAAAAAAAATTATGAAACTTTTCTAAATAAATAGAATCTTCATAATCAACATAAACATAATTTAGGAAACTTTCCTAAGCAATTAAACATGATTTAGGAAACCTTCCTAAACAACTAAAGATGATTTAGGAAACCTTCAAAAACAATTAAAAAAATATTTTAGGAAATCTTTCTAAACAATTAAAGATTTCCTAAATAACATAAACACAATTAGAAAACTTTTCTAACACCCCCCCCCCCCCCCCCACCCCACTATCCCCCCCCCCCAAAACACTATTAGAAACCTTCCTAAACAATTTCCTTTAATTATGAATTTTCCTAAACAACTCTCTCTTGGCATTTCAGGATGCCAACAGCGAACCCAAATATGCCAAAATCCATTAGCTTTTGTGAACTCAACTTTAGGAACTGTCATGATAAAGTTAGAGATCATAAGCTCATTGCTACATGATCATTATTAAGCCAGTCTTGGGATTGGAGAACAGAATGTGCCATACAAGATGAATCAAACATGCACCTCAGGTTGAGGATATTAATATATTATGAAAACAACAAAAAAGGACAATAGACTTTCAAAGTCAAGCGGAAAGCTTGAAAAAGCAAAGCCAGAAAAATGTTAAAGAGGACAAAAAAGCAATAGAAGTTGAGCAATGACCTTTGACAATATAGAGCATGTTGAAGCTCCCATCACTTGCATCACATCTACTGCTGATCCAACAGCATCTTTCACATCTTGCAAATCTGCCTGAAGAGTAGAAAACAATCATAATCCACAGGTTATTGGTTTTTTACCATGCCATGGTACTATGACATTTTACATCGGATACAAATTATAGAGAAGCTCACCCTTGCTCCACCAACAACTGGAAGACGCAGAATGCTTGCCTCTAGTGCTTCAATTGCACCTGATAATGAACTTGAATGCTCTCTGTCCAGAAGAGAACATTCCTCTAGAAAGACCATCTGCATTGTTCATACGAGATTTTGTTAAGTTGATCGAACACATTTTTTGGAGAAAAATATACTAGTGGAATAATGTACATTGTACAATATATGACCCTTCTCCAGCATATAACTGTCAGGAATATTTTCATAGTTTACTATAAAAATACCCAAAACACCAAAAACACGATCACAATATTAGATTGTATATCAAATATTCTTCTCTCCAATCTAAAACAAATTAAAAAATAATCCATGGATAAAACACAAATAATGTTTTTTGTGATCCTGTACGTCATCTGCTGAAGGCATTTAAGGTTTAAGAATCCATGAAAGGAAAGAGAAATACATCCAGTGCTAACCTTGATCAATAAAGTTGCATGGTGGCATGGTGGCGCCATGCAGGAACATAATGATATAGCGTAAGGTTCTTACTTAAGTATAAAGGCTATTATAAAAACTAACATGCTGACTTTTATTTTTCAGTTGTAAAAGTGTCAGACCACGTTAATGAAAGATGATGATCCGAATCAACCCATGCAGGAGATATCAATAATAAAAAACATTATTAGATCAAATCGTTGGTACTGAGATTAAGGAATCTAAAAATCACCACAATTGAAAAGATTAGAACTTGAGATGATGATAGCATTACCAAGAAACAGAAAAAACAAACTAGGTTAGAAGGCACAATCATGGACATAAAACAAAGAAGAGCCAATCTCCCTCCGATATTTTGAGAAAGAATTCAATATCCATTTAAAAAAGATAATCAAGGAAAAACACATGGGAGTTTATCATAATCGATAGAAGTCAAGTATATCCAAGGAAAAATAAGATCATTAATAAAAGTTTCAAAGTTCTTCATGAAATTATTTCTAGACTATCCTGTCGCAAGACTCGACTTAATTTCCTAATAAGCATAAAAGGCCACATCTTTACTTGATTTTGAATGCGATATAAGGGTGCCTATATATAGGCAAGATAAAAGGACAATAAAATAAAATGCAATAACTAAAAAAATTATCAATAATGAGTATATATTCCTACTATAAATATCATGCACATGTTCTATTATTTATATGGCTATAAATATTTCCAATAACTCCAACGAAATTCATAACATAAATATTCCAAACATGTTCTAATATTTATAAATTAATGAATAATTCCAATATCTTTATCACCCCACACAAACTCATGATGTTGCTGCAAGAAGCGTTGCAAGTTTGCCTATCAAGAAGTGAAAGTGCCGAAGTGGATGAGACTTCTTTGCCAAGAAGGTCATCACCTGACATTGCCAACAACATTAAAGCTCGTCATTGTCAATAAGGTCATTGATAGGAAACAGCGAAAACTCTCCACAAAAATCCACACAAAATCATTAAACAATAGATAATTTGTATTATTTGATGAAAGGGAAACGGAAAATACCAAGATACAATTGATCCTCTATTTGAGAAGAGGATCTTTCTCTCTCAAATCTTTAGACGCGGCTAAAGCCTAAAGAAACTAAGAGATCTCAAATGTCAGCCAAATTCCAGATGCCCTGATGTAGGAAATGGGGTTTTAATTTTTGGTGAGCTACTAAAATTCAGCTCATTAATGTTGAGCTTTTACTCTATTAAGCTCATTATTTTAAAATTAAATAGGTTCATCCCCCCCCCTCTCTCTATGTGGCCCTTTGATTTCCTCCCCATAGGTTCCTTTTCCCTTCCCTGTGTCTCTTCGGTTTTCCCTCCTGATTCTTCTTCCCTGGGAGGTTCCGGCTCCCCTAGCTGTTGGTTCTGATTCCTTGGGCTGCCCCTTCGGTTCATCCCCTGGCTGCTTGTCCCGTGGCTGTTCTGCCCCTTCGGTTCCTCCCCTGACTTCTTGTCCCGTGGCTCCTTTACCCGGTTTTCTATGTGGTTCGGGTGCTGTTCTGGCTTCCTTATGGCTGTTGTTATGGTTCCCCTTGGCTGCCTTTTTGGGTTTTATGTGTGACTGTTTGGCTGCCTTTTGTCACCTATAAATATGTGATGTTTAAAAAAGTTTCTTGTGAGTAAAAAAATGATGTTTGGAAGCCAAAACCTGCGGGTTTCTTCGTGGAAAAGCTTGCGAGCTTGTCCCATTCCTCTCTTCATCTAGGAAAGCTTGCGAGCTTGTCCTCCCTTTCGTCTCGGCTTCTTATCTCCTTCTTCTATCCGCAAGTTCGACACCACTTGTATCATTCTTCTCAAAGCAACGGATGAAATGCAATTTTAGGAAGTTGTATGTGTCGTTTTATTTTTATTTCATAAGTTTGTAAGCGTCTTTTGTTGTATGGTCGTCTTTATATGATATAAAGTGGTCTTATATTTTGTTTTAAGTGGACTCTTTTGAATATTCTAGGAAGTGTTTCTCTTGCTTGCAAAAATTAGATTTTTTCTAATTTTTGCTTGCATCAATTTGGTATCAGAGCCTAGGTTTGTGTCTTCCTAGGTTTTTTCGTTTTTTTAGTGTTCAAAAAAATGGAAAAAGACAAAAAATTGTGTCAGTTGTGGAAGAATGCAATCCATAAGATCTTGAAGTCCCTCTTCCTATGGATAGATGGGTTCCGACGGAAGGAAGTTCAATAGAACCCCTACATAATGAACTATACAATCTACAAATGAAGATCCATACATGTATGGAGAAATACATGAAGAAAAAGAAATTGCTACAAGAACAATTCAAGCAAGAACGTGAGATTATTCTGAAAAGGTATGAAACAAAGATTCAAGAGCTAGATATGCTTCCTCGGAATAAATATGAAACAACCTCATCAAGAGATGAGCTTCTTCAACTGGAGGAGAATTGATATAGGCAAAGGGGGGTGCCTTGAAATTTTGGTGAGCTGTTCATTTCTCTTTTAAATTCAGCTCATTATTGAGTATTTAATGCCAAAATTGATACATCCCCCCCCCCTTTTCCTCTTCACCTGCTGCCCCTTTGATTCCCCGCCTGGCTTATCCCGTGGCTGGTTCCTTCTCCCTTTTTGGTTATCTATTCCGGTCCCCCTGGTTGCTGGTTCCGTTCCCTGTGCTGCCCCTTCGGTTCCTCCCCTGGCTGCTTGTCCCGTGGCTTCCCTTCGCTTCCTCCCCTGGCTGCTTTTCCCGTGGTTGTTTTTCCCGGTTTCTGTGTGGCCTTTTTCGGGTGTTGTTCTGGCTCCCTTTGGCTGTTGTTATGGTTCCCCCTTGGCTGCTTTTTGGATTTTATGTGAGACTGTTTAGGTGATGTTCTGGATTGAGTGTTTGGCCTTCTATTTCCCTTATTTGATGGAATTCATTAGGGTTATTTAAGGGTTGTTTGGCTGCCCCTTTTCTCCTATAAATATAAGGTGTTTTGAGAGTTTAGAGAGAGTTTTTATGCCTGATTTTTGGAGTTAAAAAACTAGAGGATTTTTCTTGGAAAAGCTTGCGAGCTTGTCCTTCCTTTCGTCTTGGGCTTCTTACCTCTTTCTTCTCTCCGCAAGTTCGACGCCAATTGTATCTTTCTTCTTAAGGAAATGCAAGTTTATGATTTTTATGTCAAAGTTTGTAACCGTCGTTTTATAATATGAAAGTTGTCTTTTGTTCAAGTGTTGTGTAATTTTATTTAAGTTTTTGTGACGATGTATGGTTGTAAGTGTGAAAGTCCTAGATTTTTCTATTATTTCCTAGGAAGTCTTTTTTTTTCTTTTTGCTTGCAAAAATTAGGGGCCCTCCCTATATTTTTGCTTGCATCATGCCCTAACCCTAGGAAAAGAAACTATTTAATACATACAATCCAAAAGAAAATCTTTAAATTGTCCATACATTCAAATTTCTCTCCTAACTCCCTAAAAAATCCTTCCTAAATCGCTCTGTGGGATTTGCGGTTCGGTCGGCGCGTACAAGGAGGCGGAAGAGTTCCCGTGTGGACATGGTGGACCGGTCAAATAATACTCCCCTCCCAAAGTGTCACCTTTTCCTCAAGGTGGAACGAAGGAAACTACTACTAAAGCACTTGATCAATAACATTGGACTGAAAAATGGACTGATACTTGGTTGAATAATCCCTACTTCAAGCATCTCCCTTATCAATCTCTCGCTCTCATCCTTCTGGATTTGGGGATGACGATACGAATGAACACTAATAGGTGTAACTACTTCCTTCAATATGATAGCATGAGCATGTCCCTACGGAGAAGGCGGATCCCTGAGGTAGCTGACAAACCTCACTAAACTGTTGAATCAATGGTTGTACTGAAAGAGGATTGATCCCCTCCAATCTATGTAGTTCCATCAGATAACCTTCCCCCATCTCATGTATGCTCATCACCTTGGTTTTAAGTAATATCCCTCCCCTAATCACCACCTTTCTCCCATCCACCATCAACTCCATTGTCAATGCTCCCCAGTTGACCTTTGTATCCCCCAAGATCTGCAGCCACTTCATTCCCAGAATGATATAAGTGCTCCTTAAATCCAATGGGAGAAAATCTTCCCTCACATGAACCACCTGTATGGTTAACACTACTCCCTTACATATCCCCTAACCCGTCTCCACCTTCCCTGTACCCATCATCACTCCATAACACCTTGTATCCACTAATGTCACTACCAATTGGTCCATGATGATTAGAGATGAAATTATGGGTAGCCCCACTGTCAATCAACACTACCAACTCCATGTCTACTATTTCCCCTTTCATCTTCATGGTATGATTCAGAGTGAATCCCACTATTGAATTCAGGGGACCTCCATCACGTCTAGATGCAGCTTGATCTCCATCTCTCTCTCTCCCATACTCTCACCTCCCTCTTTAGTTTCCTCGTCATCACAGATGGTGAGAACCTGAAAAATTTGATTCCTACACTTGTGCCCCGGAGTATACTTTTCATCACATATGAAGCATAGTCCCTTCATCCTCTTCTCTTGCATCTCCCTCTCTGTCAGCCTTTTGAAGTTCCCCCCACTTTTCCTCCTCTTGGATTCTCCCTAAGAGTCTCATTAATGTTGCCTGATGCAGGCCCCTTGGGTGCTAGAAGAGTGGTCGTCGTCCTGTAAGTGCCTCCTA